CTTTGATTTGTTTTTTTAGTTCTGTAACCCTGAGATAAAAGGAGAAAATGTTTCATAACTTTAAACTATTAAAAATTGTTTTTAAGTTAATAAATCTGTACTCCGGAAGAAAAGAACATCATGTCACATTTTCGTATTTGTTGAAGGAGCCAATAACTTTGATAGAGTTATAACATATATTTCTGAGAAGTATGAACTGATTATTTTTGATTAAGTAGGCAGATTTAGTTTCTATCTCATTTTGAATTGAGAATTTTTTTTTTTTTTTTAAGTATCAATTTAATCATACTATATCACTTTCAGAATTTATTCCATCATTAAAATGGTGGACACGTATGTATTGAAAAAAGGTTTATGATATGTATAACTTACATATAACTATAATATTTTTATTTCCATACGATTGTTAAAGCATCTCCTATTTCGTTTTTTATAATTATTAATTTTATTACAGTTAATAATTTAATCTTTATTATTTTTTATTTATTTATTTTTATCAGTTGTCTTATTAAGTGACTATGCTAATTTATGTATTTCATGGTATGTATTTATACTTCTATCATATTGAAATTATCACAATTTTTTTTTTTTTTGCCATGTAGGCCAAGTCTGAACCACGCAAACATCACTTGTATTGTACTTAGTAATACTTTATTATTATATGAAGTACTTTATATTTTTATATTATTCTACAGAGATAGAGTCAAGAGTGTTCGACACTATAAATTCTTGATTTATTTTTTGATCAGCGACCAGATTTTCAATAGTTGATTAATTTATCCAACAGTAATGACCGAATTATCACACCTGCTTATAAAAAATTATAATAATGTAAACATTAGATCTACAAAATATTCTGAAGTGGATTATATGGTAGCTTATCAGTTGCGTGTAACAAGTGATACAGCCGAACCAGGAACCAGAAATGAATTGCAGATTAGCTTAATGAGAAGCAACGGACCGATCAGTTTTAGTTCCCTGCTGGTCTATACCGTATCTGTTATATCACCAAATATATAATACTTTGATATAAAACATATATATATATATATATATATATATATATATATATATATATATATAGTAGCTTAATATCTGTGCTAGTGGACGGTGCTGAGGCTGTCGGTATGTCCCTGGCCTCAGGTATCGAGGTTCTATCTTAAAACATTGAAGAGGATCCCATTGTTAACTATAAAAATCTGGTGCGCGCAACACACAACTTTCACTTACCGATCTACTATGAATAGAAATTATTTTCTGGCAATGCTGGGCCATTATCAATTTTTTTGAAGTGCATTTTAAACGGAGCTAAAGCTTAAAACTTACAGATAACAAGTCATTAAGACCATTCTAATTAAAAAATGTCTATTTAATATATCGACGACAGGCAATAAAAATCTATCCACTCTATCTGCTTTTATAAACCACACAACTTTCTTTGCTTTTATAAACCACAGAATGACTAACTCCAATTTCAAAATTTTTGAGTGATGTCATTTTAGTGATATTTTTAGTTGAAAAACTTATCTATGAAGAATATGAGTGAGTTGATTCCAGAGGTGGTGATTGCAGTGTTGAAATATAGAACTTAGAATAAAAGTATAAATTTAGGTACTACTTTCTTATGAAAGATGTTCTGAGGAAAGACACTTTATTAAATATCTGTAGAAAAAAGGTTTTTTTGGTCTCAACAATTAAAAAAATATATTAAATTTATCCAAATTTCCACTTCTTCAGGGAAAAAAAAACTAGAGACCATATCTTTCCTCCTAATTGTCCGATTTTAACGATTTTTTTTTTGTTTTTTTTTTAGGAAATTCCATAAAATTTAAAAAAAAAACATGATTTTCAGCGTTCATATAATGTGGCACTTCCGGTTAGCCGATTTTAACGAAAAAATTGCTGTCACATCCGGCCCATATACAAACCTTAAATACTTTATATCAGTTTCGTACGACTTTTCGTTTATGAGCTAGACTGTTAATACACACGTACAGACCATTTTGCGACACTTGGTTATTTGAACTCAGGGGACCTCAAAACATGAAAACTGAAATTCGAAAATTTTCACGATCACAATAGTTACCCTTACTATATATTACATATATACGTAAGTGAAAGTAAAAAGAAAAAGGATCGAAGCGTCGAATAAACAGTAGGACCAATGAACATTTTGTAGTTTATTGAACAATTATTAAGAGAACTAATTTCCAATTAAATAATTATGTTTAAATATAATACTGAAATTGTGTAGAGATGTTTGATCGTAATGATAATATGAGGAGTTGGTCGGGGGGTACGGTCAAATGAATAATATATATCAAAATAGTATTTTATTGTTTACGCCAAGGGCGTAATACCCACAATGAAATATAAATAAATATAGCTGCCTTCTTTATCAGTGTCAATAAAAATATCAATCGTGGTACTTAATTATTTATTATAATCAAATAAATAATTGAAATATATAGTTATAGGAAATGGTGTCAAACAAAATAAATATAAAACATTAGACGGCTACGAAAAACATATGGTAATTAATTGTTTTTAATAATATTTCATATATATCATATAATTTTTACGTTCACTTTCCCTTTGCCTAAAAATACTTATTTTTTCTAAGAAGAGCGGGGGAGATAAGTAAAAGTTGTGTTATGCGCGCAATAATTGTTATTATTATTTTTTGTTAACTTTTTCTTCTAGCTTCAACAGTAAAGTAACTTCCAAGATCCACGTACTCCGCAACATCGCGGCATGGCGCTCTCTCGAGGGCTTAATGAAAGGCTATTGTTGTCGAAGAACAAAGACCTCGGTGTTTAATCGAGTGCTTGTTACCTCCCTCCTACCTCGGTTAATTCACAAAAAATTTCCAACTTCGTGAGATTTATATTCTTTTTTAACAGTTTCACAAAAGGGGCTTTTCTTTCACTGTGAACTGTTGTTTAATTTGACTTCGAGCCAAACCAGAAGAAAATCTTTTGAAGATATAGCTTCCTCGTCGTTTTTAGTGGCTGCCCAAGAAAATGTACTTTTTTGGGGGGGAGGGGGAGGTAGGTGGTGGGAGAAGAAATAACTTTTACTAAGATCATATTTTCATTTAATGCTGAATAGAATAATCCAATAAAAACACTAAGTTAAGTTTAAAAAATGGGGGCGGGGTGGCCGAATAGGCTAAAGCGTGAGCACAGCACCGCTAGTTGCCTGGCAACCGGATAACAGAGATTTGAGATTATATAAAAAGTACGAGTTCGCGTCCCGGTGCCGGAGGGGATTTTAAAATTCCCCGCCCTCACCCTCCGGCCCGGGAAAATCCCGTATAGCCTAAAAGGCGAGGTAGGGAAGAACAAAAAAAAAGAAAAAAAAAAAAACAAAAAAAAAAAACAGCCATTATAGTCTTAAATGTTCATAAATTTCAATTGCTAAATGAAGATTGATGAAATTGATACCAGAAAATTTGAAAATTACTCTTCAAATTTGCTTCGAAACAAGATAAATAATGTTTTTAATTTATTTTGCAATATATTTGTAACTGCACAGGTGAATATAAAGGGGGGGGAGAGATTTTCGGATTGAAGCTCCCCCAAAATGGTAAAATATGATCATGTGTTATGAAAAAAATTATCTCTAAAAGTATTATTGTTCGCCACTTGCGGATCCAGGATTTAATTTTGGAGGGGGGCTTCAGTCCGAAAGATTTTTTATTCATATATATATATAACGATAATTAATATGAAAAAAAAATAAAGAAATTAAACTACGTATATGAAATGGTGTTAAGTGGTTCTTGAAGTCCTTTTGAAAGTAATTACACGAACAAGAATACTTTAAGAGTTTTTAATACTTTTTTCTATAAAACATGATTATATTTTACAATTTTGAGGGATTGGAAGGGGCTTCAGCCCGAAAGCTTTTATATATATAAAACGATAATTACTTTGGAACAAAAAGAAAGAAATTAACCACCTATAAGAAATAGCGTTCAAGTGATTCTTAAGGTCCTATTAAATGTTTTTAGAGATAAGATTTTTTTCGTAAGACATGGATATATTTTACAATTTGGAGTGGGCTTCAAACTTAAAGACTCTCTCCCCCTCCCCCCCCTCTAGATCCGCCTGTAGTTTAAATCGATGCCATCTCACAAATAACTGGCTTGTTCTCATTTTTTTTTTTTTTTTTTTTAAATGGCAGTTAGTCGATGCTCCCTTCTATGTCTCTAACACCACTCATCCCTACAATCCTCCTCGCAGGCTGAAACGGCAGTGGCCCCGTGACCTTTTGTAACATGTATATACTGGAGTTCTGGCAATGGCCAGATTCTCCACTCAAGTCATGAGTGTCCGTCGTTGTAGCGCTCTTACTCAATCTCCGCTGGCTTTCAATGCCAGTGAAATGGTTGAGCAAGAAGCGCAGGAATCTCCTGAAGCCTTGCTTTCCCTCCACATGTGGGGGGATAAGTATGGTTCGGAGTTCCTATGGCCGACTGTAAATAGTGTAATAGGTATGCCTGCGTCTAAGATGTTTATTTTCATTACTTTTTTTTTTTATTTATTTATTTATTTTTCTCACTATGATATTTTATTTTGTTCTTTTGTAGCTTTATATTATTTGAAGTTAGCTTATTTTTTTTATTTATCTATTTTTTTTTTAATTTGTAAATATGGTGTGAATGTGCTCTCAGAAATTATAAATGTCCTTTATTGAGACAGATTATAATATTTATCAATAAAAAAAAAAAAATAAAAAAAAAAAATGGCAGATGTCCTTTATTGGTATTAAGCCACTCATATGTTGGTAGTTGTTCATTCAATTAGGGTGAGTTTGTTCATTGAAGTATATTGATGGATATTTAGATGCGAGGAACAATATAGAGCAATCAACGTGAACAATGGCTAACGAAACCTTAGGATAAATAATGTGAGGTATAGATGAAGGTTATGGCCTGCAGAGTTCTCCTTTGTCAGAAGAGCAGAAGTCAGGACCAATTACCTCAGAGGGATTCATTAATTCCACACAAGAAGAGAGCCAGGACCAATCGAAGGATCGCTTTCAATACGAGATCGTTCGCGGTCGAGAGAGCTCGAACTGTGGCGTGGAATGAAACCCGCTCCGAAAACAAACAAAAGATAATAGAGTCCCGCTGCGCAGCTGCTTAGATATCTCTGATGAGATCTTGATTGGCGAATAAAGAGTTTGTTTTGCCGGCTGCTGTGAGCTCGATACCCTAGGGTCTCGACCCCGTCCAGGCGGCCTTCTTCGTAATTGCCTCTGACGAACAAGAAGAGATGGGAGCTGGAAGAGTGTGCGAACTCGCAACGGGCGATCGCTCTATCTGGACGCGTCCTTTGTTCCGCGATCAGCAGGATCTCCTAATAATAGATTGAGCTATGATTTTGTCTTATGTATTTTATTCAAGCCATCCATTCAATGACCCGACCCTCGTTCTTAGGAATGGGAGGACCCAGTTAACTTGTAAGCTCTCTCTAACAAAGAACTACTTCCTAAAAGTATTTTATTATTCGTATTTTTCGCTCTCCTACGGCTAATAGGTTAATTGGGGGCGGGGTGGCCGAATAGGCTAAAGCGTGTGTAACAGCACCGCTAGTTGCCTGGCAACCGGATAACAGAGATTTGAGATGATATAAAAAGTACGAGTTCGCGTCCCGGTGCCGGAGGGGATTTTAAATTTCCCCGCCCTCATCCCCCGGCCCGGGAAAATCCCGTATAGCCTAAAAGGTTAATGAAATATTATATATTTGGACCATACATTCGATGAGTAGTTTTTTAGATCAGATCTTAACTTTTGAGGGCTTTGTGAGTTCAAAAAAAGGCATTTTCTGTCGTTGGTCTATGCAATTACCTATTTGCTTATTATAATTTATTAAACACGTACTGATGACAGGTGTATCTTATCAGTTAATAACGATCCATCTATTGCATTCCAAACTCTTCAATCACACATCACAAGCCTTGAAAAAAGGTGTCAAAACTGGAGGATTAAAATAAATTCCAAAAAATCCCATCAAATTATCTTTACTCTTCGTCGCAAACCTATGAGTTCCTATCCTTCAGTATCCTTTAACTAGACCCCACTGATACCTGTTGAACAAATCTGATAGCTAGGACTCAATCTGGACAAACGACTCACTTGTAACCCTCATACCACTAAAAAAACTTTCGACTACTGCAGCAATTAATAAACAAACGCTTTAAACTTCCAACTATTTACGAAAGACTCATATATATTACTATAATAAGGCCTATTTGGACTTACGAACTTGAGCTATGGGGCTCTACTAAACCATCAAATTCCTCTCATATTCAATTCTTATGATCCAAAATCCTTCGTAAAATTCTCAATCCTTCCTACTTTGTCACAAATAAAATCATCCATAACGAACTTACTGTACCATATGTTTCCGATTTAGCTCAATCCAGACACCTATCCTATAATAAACTTTTGAACCATCCGTACCCTTTCGTTTCAAACCTTGCTTCCTCTTCTATTCCTGATAACCCTCCGAGGCCTGAGAAGAAGATGGCCTCGGGACCTTCTAATATAGAAATATAATTGAAGTGCGACCAATGGGTAGTTTCTCTTCATGTTGTATATGGCATGTTACTTGTTTCATATTTACTTGTTCTATTTATCATGTAATACATTTGTAAATTTCAACCAATAAAAAACATGTTATTTTAAATCTTAAAACAAACAAAGAGATATGAGCATAAGGTATACTGACAGAGAAAGTGTTGAGTCCAACAAAAAGTATCTTTACAATACTTTGAAATTGTCCTCTTAATTATTTTGCCATAATTTTTATTCATAACAAACCGTTTATTATTTTTTTTTTTTTTTGCTCCTGTTTAGGCAAATAAATTAGTTATTATGTGGAGAGCCAATAGAGGTTTCACTAGATTCCTACTATACATCAAAATATAACAACCAAGACAATAGCTTTTAGTGTTAACGATCAACTTTGTTTTTGGATGGAAGTAATCCTGGTTTTGTAACGATACTAGGTGCAGAGTGATATAGTGTGATCACGAGATTTTGGCCAATAAAGTCGAATAAAACTTGTTAAGTAATACCAATTTATTATTCTTTAATCAATTATGCAAAATAAAGCTTTTGAAAAAGTTTTAAGCTAAAGTATTTTTTGGTACCAGGGGTTCAAGATCCCATGTTCACGATATAAATGAGATTTAGATATTACACAGTTTTAACATTCCTTAATTTAAATCACAAATTAGGATTTAGGCAAATTCCCACCAGATCCTTTTCAGTCAAAGTTCAGTCGTTAATTAGCTTAAATTACATCGCTGCTTTCTATTTCCGCTCGTTCAAAAAGAATAAACAACCCCCCAACGGATTCTTTTCAGAGCTCGAGGCCTTACCAGACGGTTCAGCCACGTCCGCCTTCTTTCGGTCATTCTCGGGAATCTATTTATGATAATGAGATCTTGGACTAACGATGAATGTGCTTTTTATTATTATTATTGATTAATAAAAAATTGCCTTCATAGTAGAATAGTAATAGTAATGCGATCCTATGCTTCCTGTATAATTAATTCATAAAAGGATTAGTTCAGACGTGAATGGAGCATTCCGACAAATAAGAAGGAAGCAAGATTTGCCATGACTGGAACAATAATTAATGGTGACATGGACTGCGACCGCACCCTATTATCCCCTGACCTCTTTCTTCCAAGACGCTTTGTCCCCCCCCCCCTGGATAACGGGCCAGGGAGGCGAGGGTAACCGGAGGCTCATTGTGGCTGCTATATTCAGCTTTGAGGAGAAGCCACGCCCACGAAGTGCAACTCGATACCTTATAGCTCGTGCCGCAGCTGGGCCTCTTACCTCTTTGCATAGTTCACTTTGTGACCTCTTAGTCCGCCCGAATCGTTAATCTCTTTGGCAAGGATTGAGGTTAGTTTGGAAATAACCTAGTGTATTCAAAATAATATGCTCCAAGTCTTTAATATTGTCTCTTTCATTTAAATAAAACTATAATAATAATAATGACTCCTCATCCTATAAATAGAAGAAATCATAAAAAAATCACAAGCTTGAATAGTTTATGTCTTCGACCGGATATTTAAGTGGTATTAAATAATGATGAGTCATACACAAAAACAGTTATAAACTTTTTAAAACCAATAGAAAAACGTGAAACCTCAAACTTTGAGAGGGGGTTAAGTTTTTAAATTTTTTGGTCGATCACAATGGTTGATTATTAAAAATAATCTCTGCTAATAGTGCTTTGATTTCGATGAAACTTCCTTCATTTTTTAGGAAATTTAAATTCCTTTGAAACATCTTATCACCATATCCCCAAAAAAGTGCATACTTTTTGAGTTATTCGGAATTTAATTTTACCATCCCTCGTAACTTTTTTTCCATCTTCGTTTCGTTGAAGTATGTTCTATAATACATTTAAAGGGTGTCGAAAAAATGACTAGCGAAGTTTCATTGAAATCGGTACATTCGTTTAGGCGCTACAGTCTATAGCAACGCAGGTTTTTCTGCATTTTTTTTTCTCCTTTATTAACTTATCAAATTCTTTCAAAAGTTATATTTAGCATTTTTTCGTAACTTTGAATAATGTGAAATGATTAACTTCTTAAAATAAACCATATTAAAGGTACTCTGGAGGAAGACGTACATGAACATTGGGCATTTAAGCCCTGTAAAGTGACATCAATGGGGATAAGACCTAATTAATATTAAAAACCGCTTAATTATACAATGATAGACCGAGTTTAATCAGAATCGTGTTAGAGCCGTTTTTGAGAAAACTGTGAAAATGTGTTTCAGCGTTGATTTTAAGTTGCTGTCACATCTAAGGCATATACCTATCTTAAATGCGTAATAACAGTTTCGTAGGACTTTTCGTTTTTGAGCTAGACTGCTAACATACAAACACACAGACCTTTTTTCGGGACTTGGTCATTTCGACTCAGGATACCTCAAAATGTGTATTTCCGTTGAAAACTCAGATTCAAAAATTTTCTCGATCGCAATACTTACCCTTACTATATATTACACATATACGTATGTGAAAGTAAAAATTAATTTTACTCTGAAGAGTAGAAGAATTGATATTTCCATTAATTATTTTAAAGAGGACAATAACATATTTTTTGTTCCGCCTATGTGCTAGAGAATCAATATTTATATTAATATGCATATTTCAAAAATGTTTAAAATATCAACTATCGATATTTAATGTCCTATATTTTGATGGTATCCATAGTTATAGTCCGATATCCCATCTCTAGTCCAAGTTTCTATCTAGGCTAGGACCTAATTTAAATATAGACTAAAAATCCTAATTGTACACTCATTGTATCATAATTTTCAAAAAATATAACCATCTATAAGATCCAATTTTCTGTGGAATAAACTATCTATGACTTGAGACCATATATTAGCCATCAAATCGTCAAAAATACACAAGAATTACTCTCCAGTTCTGTTGTTTATTATTTGTTTTCTTTTCGAAATATAAGATGGCTGTAGATGTAGAAGTATTTGCTGAGTGTTCCGATGGTTTGACCCAGGTCAGCTGTAAAATGGAGGAATTAGGTGACCCCTAGGGAAGTTGTTAAGCAGTGTGGGAAACTGTCCTCCGATTGTTATCGCAGTGTCCTCTTGGTCGAATTACTCCAAGAACATCCACATCGGATTTCCTGGACGTCATAATAGAGCTGTCTAGATTGTTGATAGTGAAGCCGTTGGAGGAGAACTCAACCGAACAAGTTTTCAAGGGAACGATGAAAACATTTATATTGTAATGGATAGAGATATTTTATAGTAATAATAAGGCTTAGGGAACCCAGAGGTTCGATGCCGATACCACCAATCGATGTCCACATTCTTCCATCCGCCGTAAAGAAAATTTACAGAAGTTGTAATTATGTATATATTTTTCTTCATTAAAATAATTATTCTTGGAATATATAGATTTTTTCAATTGTGTAAAAAAAAAATATAGATAATACCAGAAGTTGAAAGGTGGTTAGACCAACGATAAAGAGGTGATTCATTATACAGTCTAGGTGTGCACCAGACTGTATAATGAATCTCTTGATTCCAGTGTCGATCTACAGTTGATATAACAGAATAAATAATTGTTTGCCATTGTCGGACTCGAATCCAGTAGTTAAGTATGCTTTACTCTCTCCCAGAAATGTAATTAAAAAAAAAAAAACACATTATATGTTTGGTTGTTGAAGAGAAGTGTTGTATATATCATCGATTGTTTTATGCCTCAGTCGATGAATGTTCTTTAACTGCAACTGCAGAGACTTAAGGCTTTGGGTTTGATTTTTTTCTAATTTTTATGTATTATCAGAGGATATAGGAACAATAGTGTAATTGAATATTATAGTTGTATTATTGCCTAATTGGAAATTTCTTCACTGTGTATTTTATTTTGTATTGTATTGGCATTTTTAAATAACATTTATTATTAAATTCTATAATTTTTTATTTTAAATACTAATTCTTAATGAAAGCATCTAAATATTTATGAGTACTCACTTATACTTCTCAAGGAACAGATGTAAATCTACAGTGGTTTTTGCCTATAAAATGTATTTATAGTTCCATTCCAGGAACAATAGTGTAATTGAATATTATAATTGTATTATTCCCTAATTGGAAAATATCTTCACTGTGTATTTTATTTTGTATTGTTTATTTAATTTTTTTATTACTATAATTATTTAACTTGATTTTTAAATAACGTTTATTATTAAATTTTATATTTTTTTAATTTAAAATACTAATTCTTATTGAAGGTATCTAAATCTGTATGGGTATTCAATTAAACTTCTCAAGGAACAGATGCAAATCTACAATGGATTTTGACCTATAAAATGTATTTATAGTTCTATTCTAATTCCATTTATTTATTGTCTTAGCACCAATACTGTAATATTGTAACCCTATTACCCATCTGCTTTCGTTAATATATCTTAATAGCTATGTATATACTTATATTTTAGTTATTATTTATTGTAATAGGTCTTTTAGCCAGATTTATTGATAATTTGTATTAAAATATTAATATTCCTAATGGATCTTGTCCCAGAATAAAGATTCATTTTCTATTTCTATTTATTATATTTTTTATTAATAATGTTCTTGATTAAATAAGTCATATTCTGCACATGTGGACGGTTCTCGAAATGTAAATCAGTATTTTAAATAAAACATTATAGAAGCTAATAAAGGACGTTATTTTAAAATACTGATAGACCCATCAAAGAGAACAATATTATTTTTTTTTTAAATTTATTGCTCAAATAAAAAAATAGGAATATAAACTGGTTGCGAGATCTAGTACAAGAATGAATAATAGTCTCACCTCCATTTCTTGTGATTGAAGCTTGGATTTCTGGAAATCCGTCAATCCAGCCCATCAAATCATCTTAACCTCACGCAATCAGTCAGAATGTCATTCATTCAGGCCCCGTTCAGTGAAGAGTGTGGGCGGGTCAGTCAAGTTCGCAGCAGTTGTTGTCTTCAATTAAGGACAAGATATCATTAGACGCTTTCGTCAACAGACCGTGAGGGCATTAGTGCCGCTAGGAATGAAAGCACAGCCCAACCAAACCGCCATCAGTCTAATTGGATTAATAATTGCCAATTGTACTCTTCGTATACCATTATACATAGTAGAAAAATCCGTTGGGAGATTTCAGTAAAAAATAATATATACATATATATATATATATATATATATATTTTTTTTTTTAATAACGAACAATCAGAAATAGACCAGCGTATAACAAGTCCAAACAGAGCTTTCTTCTCTCAAAAGGTAATTCATTATTGCAAATTTCAGATAAACGATGTACAATGCTATGATAAAGTCGCAAGAAAAAAATATTATAACATTTAAGAAAAAAATCCCCCGTATGATAACCGGAGCGATCTTGTATCAGACTACTAACGCATGGGGGAGAAAGACCAATAAAAAACTGCTTGCAGAAACTGGTCAATCAATATCTTATGATGTCAAGGCAAGAAAGTTAAGATGGATGGGGCATATAGCCCGCATAATCCATAAGCTTTTACAAAGCAACGAATGTCTCAATAGTAGGCAAAATACCACGTAGAAGGCCAAATTATGTATATCTACTCATATTCCACTCAGTATGTATATGTATATGTGTATAAATATAGTTTAATATTTTCACCTATTTTGACATACCAGAGGATATAAAAATTTTCAAATTAATTTTTATATCCATACAGAGTATTTACTTCGTACAAAAATAAATAAATGTTCTAACCTCTTTAGGCTTTAAACTATCCACTTACCTGCTGCGAATGTAATCACTTTCATGTTGTATCTATAAAATCTTGAACTCTTGACTTAAAAGTTATTTGTATTTTATTTAGTTTTATAATTATTTATTTATTTTTTTTTTTATCACAGAAAGTAATATTTTATGCGACGAACTTCGCAGTTTGAAATAAGAGCAAATTCCTAAATTGAACGCTGAGCTCATCGATTGCACTATAAATCTATCAAACACTAAACTCAATAATGGAATTGAATGAGTTCCTTTATTCATCGATTAAATCTATCAGCGGTTCACATGCACTGGATGTATCATTATTTTATTCTCAGTGTTATTATTTTTATATTTAATTAAAAAAAATATATTTAGCTTACTTTTAATCTATATCTATTTTGTTTGAAATTTAACTATTCAGAAGATAGTTTCCTTATATTATTCCTGTGGGTTGTAACCTTCAGCTGGAATCCAGCAGTTCGTTCCTAAATTCAGCATAAATAGTCATCCATTGGTACTGGATGCAATTGATTCCTAAATTCCATTGATGAAATTAGTTTGAATTTTCAAACTATCGAGGGGATATCCTCCATCTACTTAATTATTATTAAGATTTTAAATACAAAATAAGAAAATACGTGTAAATTTTTTTTTTTTTTTTTTTTTTTTCCTGTTATTACAAGTATTATGGCTGTGAATAGGTTAATAATAATTAAACATTTGATTTAATAATACTCCTCTTACGTAATTTTTAACAGCTATTAGTTTCTTCTAATATTTTTACTACCCTGATACAACCAATTCGATTGTTTTCATTTTTAATCATTTTTTACCTGTCTAAATTAACATCTGGATAAGTTTGAATTTGAACTTAATATATATCTAACTTATCAAATTAAAAAAAAAAACATACATATAACTAGCATGCAAAAAATAAAAGATATTTTATCTACTCTAATAAGTGATTAAACCTTTCAGAATCAGTTTTTATTTAAAATATTTTTTTATCTTAAACTATTATCTGGATAAGTTCAGATCAGAACTTTATTTTTTTTCATTATAGATAATTAATATATATTGAGTATATGATTTACAAAATATTTAACTTATTAAAATTTGAAAAATAAACCAAAAAAAAATATTCAAAAAACTAGCATGCTAAAAATAAAAACAAAATACTGAATCTACTGTAAGATGTGATAAAGCCTACTTGTGAAGAATACTTTGATACCAGTCACCTGTCCTTCCAGTACACCTGTGCGCTTTGACACAAAATGGAGAATGTTAACTGATAAGGATTGGTGGGAGGAAATTGGGCGATAAGGGAGTAGAAATGGTTAGAAGTTAATTTGAAATTATTTATTATTTTCTACTGAAGAAGATGAGTAAAAAAAAATAAATAAATAGAAAGAATAAAATTCGGAACAAAATTGCCTTTATTATTCAACTGATAACACACAAAAGTTTGATAAAATGAACATTAAATCGAACAAAATATGAATTACTTAAATTAATTAAATACAATTGAAAAAGAGAAAAGAAATGAACTTTTTTGACAACATAATGTGACCGATAATTATTCATTATAAATTCATGTCACTTACAAACATACAAATCGAAATGTGTAAAATAGGAACATTTAAATTACATTAAGTTACAAGTTATTATCTAAAAATTATCACAATAGTTAATCAGCTTAAAAAAGTTTTAACAAATTTTACACATTATACATATATATATTTTTTTTTGTGTTTGTGTTTAGATTTATCTGCACATATTTATGAGATTATTTATAAAATAAAGGGAAGAAAATTATATTTTGTGTGCAGAAAAAAGTATTTTTAAAGTTCCTAGTCTCTTTATGAACAATCTTAAATATGTTTTAACATAATACAATATTTTTTTTTTGTTTTTTTTATTAAAAATGTTTATACAGAATTTAGTATTCGTCCAATCATATAGCTTACAAATCGTACATGAACAACATGAATGAAGCTTTAGATTTTTTATTATAAAATCAGCTGTTAGTACTTTTTTTTAGATAGTTATAATAATTGCCATAGATGTTAACAGTCTCTCATCGGGTAACCTTGGGCGATGGCTCAAAAAAAAAAAACTAACGTTAAAAAAGAACACAAAAAATTAAATACTAAGTACTTTTTAAGTAATACTTCACAATTAGAAACTCTATTTCTGAGCTTTTTGTATGGAAATTTTAATTATATCAATAACAACAGTATATCAATTCAAAAAAAAAGTTTTAAAATATATGACATATTTTCATAGTAGCGAATAATCACATAATTTTCGACACTATTCTATTGTACTAACCTCGTAACTACAATGCTTTAGCAAATTTCCTTACAAAACTAAAAAAAAAATATTTAGAAGAGATAATAGTTTATCCAGGAACTGTTTGTTATATAAAAAGCACAATTTTGTTTATTCATTAAGATAAAAAAGATTTTGTTTAACCGAGCAGACCAGAATAAGAGAAGACTTGTCACTTGGCCTTGAGCAAAGAGGGGAAGTCGGCCTCGTCGTCGACCCTCGGGGCCGGAGCGGGAGTGGAGCGGTGCTGGTCGGAGCGATGCTGGTCGGAGCCGTGCGGCGCGTTGAGGGGGCCGTTGGGGGGTCCCCTTGCGGCTCCGCGGCCGCGGCCTCCCCTCCCGCGGCGGTCGTAGAAGCGCACGTCGATCTCCAGCCTCTTCTGCCGCCCCACCCGCTGCGGGTACTCTCCGTACTCCAACTCCTCATCTTCCTCTTCGTCGGTGGCCTTCTTCGACAGCACGATCATGTCCTTCCAGCGGGTCAGGTCCTCGCCCTCTCCAGGCTTTCTGATATTGTAGCTGGGCTTCGGCCGAGAACTCTTCAGAGCCTTCCATTCATCCAGAGTCAGCGCTTGAGTCTCCGTCGACACGACCTGAGCCTCTTCCTCCTTCCCAGCCTCGTTAGTTTCCACTTTGTCGGATTGCTCTACGGTTTGGGATCCCTCGGGAGATTTGGGCTCCTCTTGCGGAACTTTCACGTCGAAGACCTCGTCCCCTGGATTGCCCCAGTTGAAGGAACCGCTGGCCCTCCTCTTGTCCACAGGCTTGACGCCGGTCTTGTCCGACCCCGAACGCCTGTCAAACTCCCTCTTGCGGCCGTTGTCGAACCCTCCTCTTCCTCCTCGCCCGCCACCTCGGACAAACACCCTCGAGAAGCCGCGTCTCTCACCCTTTACTCTGTCAGGTGCCCCGCTCTCTGATCCTGAGCTTCCATCCGCTTTATAATCCGCATTTCTGTCGCGCTCCGCGATGGATGACTCATCTCGATCCTGCTTGGGCACGGACTGATTCCTTTCATTGAAGTTGACATTCCTCTTGGCTGCCGGCGGTAGGGCCCTGGGCCTGCCACCGTCATTTTGCGACCTCGCGTCTTGACCCTGCTTGAAGTTGCTGGATGCTTTGGATACTTGGCCGCTGGATTTAGCATTCTTTACTGGCTTAGAAGTGTTCTTTTCCACGACCTTCGCCTTTTTCTTTTCCTCCTTTTGCTTTTCCTGCTTCTTCAGCAACTCATGAGGATCAAGCTCTTCTTCGCTATCGCAAAGAGCGAATTTGTTTTTGGCCACACCTATAGCATATTGGTTGGGAGCCATCGCAGTGATATTTCAGACTTCTTTGGAGCGAACAAACAATTATTCTGTCTCAGAGCCTGGGCTTTCCTAGAAAAGAAATTGAGGAAATAATTTTAGAGAATAGACATAGCTGCGCTGAATTGTGTTAAGGATCTTACCAGGCCTGTTGATAAGGACCGCGGCTAAGATAAGACACAAAATTGTTAGTTGAGATTAATTGTTACATTGACTCGAGAGTTAGTTGCTTTTCTTAAGCACGCCAATCATGAGTAGCTATTGTTAGTCAACATAAATATAATGTTAATAAGGACTGAGGATTTGAACTTTTTCATTCCTCATGAAACTGTTATTGCTAATTATGAGTAATTATGACAACGTCTTGAATGGATGGGTGAATAAGTAATGAAAAAGGGTTGGGAAAGTAAACGGTGAAAGAAACATGGCTAGAAGACAGCTCACTACATCACCGGCAAAATACTACCAGACTCCCTTGGATAATGCAATATGGACGACCCTAGAGAAATCGGCGAAAGAGGTTTCCTACCCGTTCGGTGTTTCTTCCATTCTCCGGGACAATCTTCTAAGTTGCGGTCTATAATCTCATTGAGGGAGAGATATATAGTCCGGTTACTTTTCTATATCTTATAGGTATACTGTTTTTCTAATTACGCGTGATTTTGCAACAAGATTTTTCGCCTCATTGTGATTGTTATAGCCCGTGGTACAGACCCCTTTTTATCGAATTATTAACATCTGCCTGAAATTTCGCAAATAACTACATCTCATCGTAGCCTAAAAATATTTTATTTACGAAAACTCTTGGAATTAGGGCTTTTTTAATATGGACAAAGTTTGTCTATTTAATTAGCTACTAAAAACTCGTAAATACGCATTTGCTTTCCACCTGAATCGTAAGATAATTTGATCACAAAATCGACAAAAAAGGTGGCTTTCAAAAATATTGAACCGTTTGGTGTGAACTACATCCCTAAATTATCAAAATAACGACGTTATTTAGGAAAAACGGCCCAATATTTTTGTAGGCTACATTTTTATCGTTTTGGTGATCAAATTATCTTATGATTCGGGTGGAAGGCAAACGAGTTTTTAGTAGCTAATTAAATAGACAATGTTTGCCCCCCCTCCAGATTAAAAAAAAAAACATTTAAATTTGTGTAAAATCGTTGATAAAAGATCGCTATATGTTGGTCAACTGTTGGAAAGTGGATGTCAGTATGTAGAGTTTTGTTAGTCACGTACCAAGGTGCTTTTGTTATGAGTCGCAATAATTTTGATTGGAACGTTTGAAGTTTTTTTAGGTGGGTCTTTTTAGCGATGCCGTATATTTGTGTTGAGTACGTCCATATGGGCTTAAGTAAGTATGTATATGTATTCAGTTTGGGTTTTAGTTTTGAAGATTTAGTAAAGTAGTTTGAGTCGTTAGTTAAGTGTCTTAACATGCGGACCCCATGTCATCCTTCTATCGAAGGTGAGTCCAAGATATTTTTTAATTAATTGTTTTTAATGAGATAATTGTTGAATTAGAAGTAATTTACAGTTGTTTTGTTTCTTACAAATATTAAATAAAGATATATTTTTATTTCCCACAAAATCCTTAAAATGTTTTTTTTTTTTTTTAATCTTTTCCCGGGAATTAAAACCGTCCTCGGGACGCTTCACTATTCAAACTTCATTAAATGTTAGACGGCGTGGGATTTTTGGAATCGGTTGTTATTCCCTGTTCCCGCGTACCCAAGTGGGCCCGATAGACCCAATACCCAAGACCCATCGACAGTTGCCTATTAGATAAGAACCCATCGCGACCCTGGTTGGGGGGCGCACTGTGGGAACCCAATTCCGAGCTATTTCCCTGTTCCGATTCCCCCTGCTCTATCTAGGGCACCGCCATTACACCTGCAACAACACGGGTCCCAATCCAGCTGTTCGCAACAGTCCGAATACAACAACAATTTTAAATATATATATATATATATCTGTATATACAGATATATATATAGTCACCTTGGTACGTGACTAACAAAACTCTACATACTGACCTCCACCTTCCAACAGCTGACCAGCATAAAGCGATCCTTTATCAACGATTTTACAGAAATTTAATCTGTAGGGTATATATCTGTATATAATATATATATATATATTTTTTATTTTTATATTATATATCTCTGTTAAGCGAAGACGTTGAAACTATAAGATTAAATACGACAACGTTAATGAAAGCCGGTAAAGAACTAGGACTGGAAATAAACGTGGATAAAACAAAATATATGGTTAGCTGCAAAAATGGCGATACTACTGGTGATATCGATATAGATGGTAATATGTTTGAACAGGTAGAGAAATTTAGGTATCTAGGTTCCACGATAACTAGAAAAAACGAAATTGAAGAAGAGATTAAGGTTGGACTGAAGGCGGGAAATGCTTGTTATTTTTCTGTGACAAAACTACTCAGTTCGCGCATCCTGTCCCGGAACTTAAAAATTAGAATCTATAAAACAATTATCTTGCCTACAGTTCTTTATGGATGCCAAACTTGACATTAAGGGATGAGCAGCGTCTTAAGGTTTTTGAAAATAAAGTATTTCGTAGAATATTCGGACCGAAGGATGAGTTAACCGGAGAGTTCAGACGGTTACACAACGCCGAATTGCGTGAGCTGTCTGCGGGTAATATAATTGAGGTAATTTCATCGCGGCGAATCAAATGGGCTTGTAAAGTTATTGGGCTTAGTAACGAGAGAATTCCTAAAAGGTTAATATTTGCTGTGCCGAATGGTAAGCGTCCGAGGGGTAGATCGAAGCGAAGGTGGGAAGATTACATTAAAGCCGATCTGAAGGGACTGGGTTTGGACGGCGAACGGTGGAGGGAGGTGTGTAATAAACGATTGGTGGTGTCGGCATCGAACCTTCGGGTTCGCTAAGCCTTTTATTATTATTTATATAATATCTAGAGCAACGTCTTGCTTTTAGACTAATTATTGGGTGTCTGCCATATTGAATACAGTTGACCTTCGGATCTGACTGTTTATTTTTATACTATTGTTGTTAATGTTTATTTTATGTATCTGAAATCTCATTTCTATTAAATTTTAATTTTGTTTAATATGTCCGTATAACGAGTTCCTAAATGTTTAGTGTCTGTTTTATAGTTTACTGTTGTTCTATTGTTTTTTGTGATGTGTATTGCTTCAAGTAATTTCCTATTGGTGTTTTTTGGTTCTGTTGCTATTATCTGTGGTTTATTGAAGTAAAATTTAAGCTGTGATGTGCTGAAGTTGTTGTGTTTATGTTTTTTGTATTTTTACAGTTAGTAATATGTTGTGAAATTCTGGTCCCTAATTGCTTGGATTTTTCACCAATGTAAATTTCGGGGCAGTTTTGACAATTTAATTTATATATTACATTTTTCTTGTTTATTGGGTCTATTTTATCCTTTGTATCGGTGATTCAGTTTCTTATTATTATATTGTCCAAGTTTAATTTCTGTTATGTCATAATTTTTTAACACGTCTTTAATTTTGTTAGTAAGTTCGGGTATGTATGTCATTTTGTAGTAGTAGTTAATGTTGATGTTTTCACTTCTATCATGTGGTCTAAATTTGATTTTTTAAAAATTAACAAGTGTTAAGGATCCCATGGCAACCATTTATATGTGTACATATATAAATAAGTATGCGTAAGTGAATCTTTCTCAGCCTACTTTGAACTAAGTCCCAATTAAGGCATACCTGCCTCTGTGATGGAATATTCAAACAAACCTCCACAAGTGGCTATAGAACGTATTCTATGCAAATAGCTTGCATACTAACATCACTTTATTTGCATATTTTTCTCAGCCTACCTTTTACGGAGGGGACGCCATTGGTATAAGGGTAAGCTCACAAACTGGGATAAGACACCTTGTTAAGAAAAAAAAAGACATTGAAAAAAAACAGTGTACTCGGCGGCCATGTTGGAGGGGAGATCTAGAGAATTGTGCAAGATCTCCGGGACCAGGACTCGTTCATCAGCTCAAGCCGTTCCTTTTTGTATAACATTTTTGGGGGCTCCGGCTCTCGAAGTGAGGGGGGGGGGGCCTTTCAATTCGATAACTGTAAAGATAACTTCAATACATCGATTTTAAACAGTCTATAGTATTTCAAGTAATACTTAAAGCATTTTTTTTCTTCTTCATACCCACATCCCGTATGTACAATAACATTAAAACAAGGGTAAAAAATGCACTATTATCACTAATTTTTTTGTATATTATCTATACCAATAAAAACATAAATGTTCCCTTGTTCAAAACCGCTAATCTCCGAAACTTCTTCACAGATTGCTTTGAAATATTGACATAATGTTTCTATCGGATTTAGGAGTGTTTTTATATGCATTTAATTACCATCGAGTCCTGTGTTGTTATAGACTGTAGCGCCTAAACGACTGTAACGACTTTAATAAAACTTAGCTAAAGTCTTCTCCTTGAAGCCATTTTAATTTTTGTATATAACATCCTTCTCCGAAAAAACAATTTAAAAAAAATTGGGTTAAGAATTATATTTGCGAATAACTCAAAAAGTACACAATTTTTGTTTTATAATACCTATCATTATTTGAAAGCTTCCTTGATTTCCTGCAAATAATTATCGATACGGGCGGATCTACGAGAAGGGCTTTCGGGCTGAAGCCCCCTCCCCCCAAAATGGGAAAATATAATCATGTTTTTTCGAAAAAAAAAATATAAAAAATTATCTCTCAAAGTATTATTGTTGGTTTAATTACATTTAAAAAGGCTTTAGAAATCATTTAAACACCATTTCATACAGGTAGTTAGTTTCTTTCTTTTTTTCCAAAGTAATTATCGTTATTTTTTATGGCTGATAAATATTCAGGAGGCAGTCTCAAGTACTGAACTTGAGTACTTGAATACCCTCAGTGCTCAAACCACACCCTGAAGATGACCCACATGTTTGGGTTGAAACGTTGGCAAATATAAAAAAAAAATTAAAAAAGAGTGCCACCTGAATATTTATCACCCATGATATGTAGAACAGTCGACTAACTTCCTTCAAATATTGTCATTTTTATGAAAAAAAAAAAGCTTTCGAGCTGAAGCACCCCCAAAATTAAATCCTGGATCCGCTATTGATTCTCGACGTGATATTAAATATTATAAACCATGTTTACACGTTTCCCAAACTATGACAAGAGGACGAGGTAATTGATTTAGCTCGCTAATGGTATATTGGTAACTATACGGTCAATTTTTGAAAACAATTCACAGAAAACATGCGAAAATCGCCATTGTAGCTTAAAAGTGAACATATATTCGTCTATCTGATCATTTTTTCTGTTTTTTTTTTTTTTTATTTCTTTATGACATTTACAACTGTATTACATAAATACATCAAGTAAATTTGGACATAATTGATATAATGACATGAATACACTTGCTGAGTAACTACCCAATGGTAGCACTCTAATGATATGACTACATTAGGAGATCACGGGGCCATCTTCTTTTCAGACGCCTCTGAGGGTTATCAGGAATTGAAGAGGAAGCAAGGTTAGAAACGAGAGGGTTGGGATGATTCTGAAGTTTATTATGGAAGGATAGGTATCTGGATTGGGCCAGATCTGAAACATAAGGAACATTAATATCTTTATGGATAATTTTATTAGTGACAAAGTAAGGAGCATTGAGGATTTTACGAAGGATTTTGGATTGTAAGGATTGGATGCGAGAGGAATTCGATGGTTTAGTGGAGCCCCATAGCTCAACTCAGTAAGTCCAAATAGGTCTTATTATAGTCAAGTATATGAGTCTTTTGTAATTAATGGGAAGTTTAGAGCGTTTGTCTAGTAAGTGCTGAAGTAATCGGAAACGTCGAGCGGTTTCTTGTCGTCTAGTATGAGGATTCCAAGTTAGTCGTTTGTCCAGGTGGAGTCCTAGGTATCGGATTTGCTCAACAGGGATAAGTGGAGTATTTAGTTAAAGGAAACTGTAGGACAGGAAGTCGTTGATTTACGATTTTTTCTGTTTAAAATATAAGATGATCTTAGGGACAAAATGTTATAAATGCAGCTGTTTGTAAGTTTTTAGTTTCTCTTTGGTTCATCGGCGTTGGGGCAACATCCGAAAGCGCCTTAACGTCGCCTCAGACAGCAATGTAGGGCAGACAATGTAAGCGATGTATGGATACATTGAGATACAGGACAGTACAAAGGATCGCTCCCCTTCAACGTACCACGACCTTTCCCATCCCTTGCGCAAGAACCCTAACCTGTCTGCTCCGGCCCAGACGTGATTTTTTTGTGCCTTGTGTCGTTGAACGCGTGCTGCGCCACGGCAGACTTCCGAGTCGGCGTCATTAGTCAATGCCTTACGCTGTAATGTCTGCGTTACATCGATATCGCGGCGGAGGGCGTGTTATTGGGGACAGTCCACCGTAATTGTACTTGTTGAATACCGTCCAATCAGGAAGGGTCCTTCGAAAGCACCTACCGAAACGCCCTACTAAATCGGTTCGATGCAACGTCATTAATCAATAAAGTAGAAATTAATGACGACTATATTATTCAGAGCAAAAGAAAAAAAATATTGCAGTGAAACCCCTTTAGAACGGCCAACCACGGTGTCAATGAACGGTCAAAATGTATATTAAAAAAATATGTTTTTCTGACTCAAGAGGTTCTGAAACGTATAGATCCGTCGAAAACCGCATGTCGGAAATTTGACCAGATTGCAATACTTTCCTTATCTAGTATAGCTAGGAAAGTAATAAATTAAAAAAAAAAATGTGTAAAAAATAGAATAAGCTGTATCATCGCTAATACTGGTTCGATTCCGATGATTTTTTTTTTTTTTTTTTGTTGGTAATTTAATTACCTTTCAAGAGTTAGGCCCCATAAAATTTTTCTTTTCTTTATAACTTTTTTTTCTAAAATTTTTCAGGAATTTAGTCTATATACGAAAATTAGAGAATAATGATTAGAACATTATAGGAAAGTTTCAACAAAATCGTTAGAGCCGTTTTTGCGCTACAGGCTATAGAAAAACATGTTTTTCATTTATTGCGTGCAAGCTATTGCACATGGAGTACCGAATTTCAGGCACAGGCATCAGTAGTCAAAACCCTACAAAAAAAAAAAAAAAAAAGAAGCAACTAAATCGGTTCAGTAGTTTCCGAGAAAATCTTGGCAGCAGACAGACAGACCAATGGCTAAAAATATGTTTTTCGGACTCAGGAGGCTCTGAAACGTATAGATCCGTCGAAAACCGCATGTCGGAAATTTGACCCGATTGTAATACTTTCCTTACCTAGTATAGGTAGGAAAGTAAAAAACTAAGGTGTGTGCTTTAGACCATACGATATAAATGAAAACATCATCAAAGCGAGATTAATAATATGAAATATAAATTATAAATAATAGCTCATTACAAAGAAGATGAAATGCTGAACATTTCCCCCGCTTACAATATACAGGCCCGATTTTTAGTATCTGAAATATTTTAATCCATATGTTCATCTCACCTCGTTATCATTTGAATTTCGATACTACTTTTTCCTATTCGGTCCCCTGACACAGCGTCGCGTTGAGATACTATTTTGAATTATATCCTATAACAGAGAGGATGTAAATGCTGGATAATTTCTTCGCTTATTGTATACAGGCCCAATTTTTAGTTTCTGAGATATTTTAATCCGTATGTGAAAACATTTCAATCGATCTAATTCACTCTCCACAAAAAAGTGCAAAACGAGCCTAAAGTAGTTTTCACTTTAAAATTCTTACATGCATATATCAAAAAGTTCATCATTTGATTAAAAATGGAGTTTATTAATCACGATTGAACATAAACCTTTCTTTTTTGTTTTTGAAATTTAACATCATAATAAATTTTCAAAAGGTGCAAATTCCAACATTATAAGTTGAAATAACAAAAAAATTCTGTATACTGTCTTTTAAATATATAAAAAAAAAAACACGTTTTCTGATGGAAATTAAAATTTTGTACAGTATAATCTCCTCTCCTGTTATATAACAATTACGCTGCTCGTAAGGGCTAAAATTTAAAATTAATATCTCGTTTACATTCATGCAAGGGAGCGAGAATCTAAGACTTGGGTTGTTGTAGTATAGGTTAATTTTTCTATCACTATTTAATTTTTGTTTTTTTTATATTTCCATATATAATAAATAATGTTAAATATTAATATTAAAATCTCAAACTAAGGGTGTACAATGCTATGATAAAGCTGCTAGAAAAAATTATTAAAAGATTTGAGTGAAAAATTCTCCGTACGACAATTGGAGCGATCAGAGTACTAACACACGGAGAAGAAAGGCCAATAAAGAACTACTTACAGAAACTATTCAATCAATATCCCATGATATAAAGGCACGGAGGTTAAGATGGGCGGAGCATATTCTATTTAAAAAAAAATGAAGATGATTTTTACCTCCGGGACACAGAAATATACTTGGCGATAACTGAAATTATTCCATCCTCGAACAGAAGATTGGTCTTACACTATGACCATTGGGGCTGAAACAAGAAGCCGAAGGAAGGAGTGGGGACAAGACAGCAGCGATGGTGATGGTAAGATAGACTGTGTGACAGGTGATAGATAGTCGACAACAGGTGTTTGTATTTCAAAGGTCTCTTTGTCATAAAGGTCTATCGTATACGACATTATATTATATATATATATATATATATATATATATAATTAATTAAGTTCTTGAATAATAGTCCGTGGTTCGATGGTAATATGTCCCATTGTCGTATTGAAGAACGGTACGCTGCCTTTTGGATCTAACAAAACACTACTCTTTACGGGAGGCAGTTTTCGCAATCACTATGGCAACAAACATAAGAGTCCAACTTCCAATTAATTTTAATTATAATATACTATTTTCTGCACCATTACAAGTATATGTATTGTGTAAATATAATAGTGGTAATCCGTGGTACAGACAACTTTTTATCAAATTATTAATACCCGCCTGAAACTTCGTAAATAGCTTCATCTCAACCTAACCTAAAACTATTTTATTTTCGAAATTTCTCGGAACTGGGGCGTTTTGAATCTTGAGATTGGCAAACTGTGTCTATTTAATTAGTAACTAAATACTCGTACATACTCATATGCTTTCACTTGAATCGTAAGATAATTTGAGCACAAAATAGAGAAAAAAGGTGGCCTTAAAAAATATACGTTTGACGCGACCTACTTCCCCAACATGTCAAAATAACGAGCTCATAAAGGCCCAATATTTTTGTAGTGATGGATATAACTAAGGATTTGTTTGTCTTTTTTGGCTTATGCCGCGGTAATTTTATAAACTTCTCCGTTGAACATTTAAAATCTTTAAGATCTCCTTTTTCTATTCCTTTTAAAATTGAAAAAAAAACAAAAAACTTTTTCAACTAGTGATGGACACCCCGAAATTTTTCGTTCCAGTAATGGACAGGGGATCGGTACCAGTAATGGACATACCTCAGAACAGTTCTAAAATCTTTATGTAACTATAAAGATAAGATAAATGTTGAACTTACTCTTAGCAAAACTGATAATAGGAAGATATGAAGAAACACACTGATCTCAAGAGCACTATGGAAACAATGATAGACATTTTAAAATATTCTTTTGGGAACTTTGTTCATACAATTGATAATAGAGGGCACTGTTCATCAATCTAGAAAAACTGGAACCTTTAAATCAACAAGGATACTTATTATTTGCATTTAAAGCCAATCTGTTCATACTGGTGCCTGTTCACCCTAATAATTTTAATACTTGATATTAACACAAAAAAAAAAAATAGTTTTTAAGATGGAATCGAAATTATATTTTTAGATCGAAGAGGTTAAGTTCTCTGTCAAGATGTATAAATGTGGTAGTAAACATCATTATTTAAATTATTTATTCCTCTTTTATTTTTTTTAATCTTATTATTATTATAGATTATTATCTAAGTGGCATTGCCTTGACCGATGAACGCTGGTAGCAGATGCTTCGGGATTCAGCTGGTCGCGGAGGAACATATGTTGTGCAGATGATCCTCAATGATCTCTGATTACCCGCAGTATCCTCAACAACACCAGCTAAACCAAACATCGGATCTAATGAGCGGTGAAATGTCGGCGATTTCGTCAGAAAACGTACGACCAGCTTGCGATGTCCGCCCACAGATGCCAATAACAAAATAGCAGTTACGGGCTATTTCCGTTAACGTAATAATAGCGAACTGCAAGGAGTGTCGGCTGTGTCGGTTCTAGTGATGGCAGGATCTGTTCATCGAATATTTTTATATTTCCATTAATTGGTTCCAAAATGTGTCATTAATATTGATTTTAGTTTACATCCCCACATATATTATAACAGTAAGGCTCGAAATCGGTTTGTACCAAATATAAGCTCATGCCATGCTCAAATACCATGAATGGGGGCACCATGAACCATGGGCACGGTTGGATTAAGAAATTCACGAGGGTTAGCGAATCGTACTCTCCGCTTTTGTTTTTCTTTCTAAATAAATATGCAGGAAGCAGTCATTATAAGGTTTTTATTAGTGCCGACGTTTCAACCCAAACATGTGGGTCATCATCAGGGTGTGGTTCGAGCTAACTAGGTCAGTACTTGAATATCTTCAGTGCTCGAACAACGCCCTGATGACGACGCACATGTTAGGGATGAAACGTCGGCACTAATAAAAACCTTATTATGACTTCTTCTAAACTTCCTTCTATAAAATCGATACAATTATTTTTCTAGGCTTCAATACTGTAACGGTGGTAAGTCTGTAGATCGATATGGGACGAATTGGGCTTTGAAGATCTTCCTTTGGAACTATCGGACCCTGCGTTTTTAAGCCCCAAAGCGTACTATTTTCGAGATAATGGCAAAGGGTTCGCATCCAAACAACCTTACGTTAATTGTAGTACTGTCATTGAATATGTCATTGAGGTCCCGATGATCAAGAGAGGAGTTTATATTATTTATCGAAGGTGTTATTTTGTCGGTAAGCCATATCATCGTTAGTTCTTCATCAAATGTCAATATGGAGGCACCAGTTTTGAAGGTTTCCTTCTTCCTTAGGCGGGAAAAATAGTTCAATCATCCCGAAAATTCAGACAAAAATGTTATGAAAGAAAAGAAACTTTGTTTGAGAATAATTAAAAAATAACACTTATGATACGTTGCATTATATGAAATAGTTAGTTTAATTTATTATTTCAATTAGATTAATTGTTATTGATTTAATTTTTGCTCTTCGAAATATTTGGGAGGGCCATCTCTCCCCTCCCGAATTCTACGCCTATGACAGAAGTATGTAAAACCCAATGTTTCTAATTTTTATTTGTGATTATAGTATTTTAGAAAGGTGTAATCAGGCTTTAGAGTATGTTAGCTAAATATTAGAATGGATTATTTTTATAACAATATAATTTATTATATGCATTTCCTAATGAGGTATTAATTATTATCGAAACGATTCCCGAAGAGTTCCTAAATCGTAGTGTAACTTGAAGAGAGGCCGGTCCTCCGAAAGAAGTCGAGGGGTGCAAACCCCCCTCCTCCAAATCTACCGGTCCTAGAGGAACCAGTCTCCCCCGATACAGGTCTGCCCTGGTAGCCTATTCACTCCTCTCCTTACAGGGAGGGAGGAAGAAAAAACATGGGGAGGATCGGGCGAAGGAGGGGCGGTATCGAGGAAGGAGGGTAATTACAGGAGCAACAAAGAGCAGCCTGATTGGAGCAGGGCACGTACCAAGGACCTCAGGACAAATTGCCAGGACACTATCGTCCTTAATGAATTTATTGAAATTGTGGGGAGCTTCAAGAGAGGTCATCCAATCCAGTTCTCATTCACTGCCAAGCAGCGAAGAAAAGATTAATGGTCACTATCTATCGGAATGGATCACAAATTAATCCATTGAGGAGATATACGATATAATCAAGAGTATTTTATTGATACTAGCAAAAATATTCTGTATACAAAATAAAATGTCTGTATATCGAACCATAAGTCGCACAAAAAAAAAAGAGAAAAAAAAAACCCTATTCAATGAATAGTTGGATTTCAACAAAAATAAGTATAGCTCGAAAGAAAGCTAAATATAAATTTGTTAATTAAATATAAAAATAGTAACCGCTGAGCCATCATTGATTTAATCGATGCATAAAGGAACTCATTCAATTCTATTATTGAGTTTAGTGTTTGATAGATTTATCGTGCCATCAATGAGCTCAGCGCTCAATTTAGGAACTTTCCTATATTTCAAGCTACTATGTTTTTGGTATAAAAAAATTCCAATAACTTTTAAGTCAAGAGATTGGGGTTTTATAGTTACCACGTCAAGTGATTACATTCGCAGCAGCTAAGTGAATAGTTTAAAGCCTAAAAGGTTTAGAAAATTGATATATTTCTGTACCAAATAAATGCAATATATATTTTTAATTAATTTGAAATTTTTTAAATTCTTTCCCCCACTACTCGACACTTTAACAATCGAATACCCTCGTATGACAAAGTAGGTGAAAATATTATACATTGAATCCTCCGCCCATGTAAGGGAGGAAAACATTTTTTCCTTGGTTGATTACAATATTTCATTTAACATAATAAACCAAAATATTTGTACAAATTGCTTTGCTAGGACTTATTTTTAAAAGCTAACTAGCAAAATAATAAAAGTAATAAAGACAAAATAATGCTCCGATCGTGGGATATTCTAAATTATAAAAAAAATAAAATGTAAGAACCAAATTTCTTTAAAAAATAATAAAGTAAGTACAAAAGCCAGAAAAAAATTTTTAGTGGACTATTCTATTCCTAAATGCAATATCTTTGAACAGGAAGACATTATTAAGTATACCAAAACTAATGGACTGTATCTTTGTTAATAATTGTCAGATTTTTTTTTGTTTTGTAGGTAATTCAATAATCTTTCTAGTTATCATGGGTATAATAAAAAAAAAAAAAAAAAATGCATACTTTTTGAGTTATTTGCAATGAGACTATTTTTCGCATGTGAAGGAGCAGAATTTCTTTAAAATGAGTGGTCAATCATTGGATTTGATGAAAAATTGACCAAGTTATAGCGTACCGACAAAAACACACCTTCTAGAAATTTTATAAAGGATATTCCCGTGTCCGAAAGGTGGTTGGATTGGTCATCAATATGTTTTGAGGCTGGCAAAATTTAAAGACGAATTTTTTGAAAAAATTAATGTATAATTAATATACTACATACATTGAAAAAATACATATTGCATAGAAATATATTGAGTACACATTTTATTTATTGTTACAAACAGGAATAAACATTTCTGAAATGAGTTGACTAAACAACGCGAAACGAATTGAATTGACATATCAGCCAGAGAGAGGCGTCAAAGAGGCGAGCAAGAATGTTTCAAGGTCTCACTGTCAGGTTTTCTTGACAGTCTGATTTGTATATGTATATATATATCGTGCGAAAATTCGTCTCATTAATATATATATTATCTATATATAATTTATAAATACATATAAATTACCTTTTCTACAAGATATATCGGTACCATTAGTGAAAAAGATAATATGCAACAATTTTACATGTTTATTCTATTTACGATAAAGGTGTCATTTTTTAGTGTCCTAAATAGAAAAATAACAGAGGGAAGTCAAATATGAAATTATACTGATAAATCATAAATAAATAATCGATCGAGCTCTTCTTTAATAAAAAAAAAAAAAAATGTAAGGTGTGTGCTTTATAGACCACACAAGATAAGTGAAAACATCAAAAAGACGAGATTAATAATATGGAATATAAATTACAAATAATAATGAAAAGAAGGATGGTTGGGATGATCAATCAGAAAAAAAAAATGGGAAAAATAAATAATAATATTTATTTTATTGAAGGAGCTAGCCGACTGTGTTCTACACATCATGGGTGATAAATATTCAGAAGAAAAAGATTTTTTAATTATTTATTTGTGCAAACGTTTCAAACCAAACATGTGGGACATCTTCAGAGTACTTGAACACCCTCAGTGCTCAAACCACGCCCTGAAGATGACCCACATGTTTGGGTTAAAACGTTGGCACAAATAAAAAATTAAAAAAAAAAAAAAGGACTGCGTCCTGAATATTTATCACCAATAATATTTATTGTAACATTTGCCGACGTTTCGACCCGAATAGAGTCACCCCACTCAATTCAAGCAATCTCTTCGAATAGCCCTGATGAAGGCCTGAATTTTGGGTTGAAACGTCATAAAATATTAAAATAAATATTATTATTTATTTTTGCCATATTATTTCTGACTAATCACCCCAACCATCTTTCTCTTCATTATTCACGACAGTCAACCATCAACCCACAATTATAAATAATAGCTCATTACAAAGAGGATGAAATAATGAATATTTGCCTCGTTTACAGTATACAGGTCCGATTTTTAGTTTCTGAGATATTTTTATCCATATCTTCAATAAAACTCGTTATCGTTTTCGACACTATTTTTTTCCTTTTGGCGTTAAAATAAAATTCTAAATAATAGCCCATTACAAAGAGGATGAAATTCTGAACAATTAATTCCCTCGCTTACAGTACGCAGACCCGATTTTTAGTTTATGAGATATTTTAATCCATATGTAAAACATATCGATTAGTCGACTCTAGCCGACTTTACCCGAGCGTTAACACTTCCAAAATCTGACGAATCAATCTAATTTAGTCTCCACAAAAAAGTGCAAAATTCACTTCAAAACAATTTTTACTTATAATTTTTTGCACTAACAGTAGCGATAAATGAAATATTCACTTTTTTTTATGACCGTTAGATTTTAAATAAAATCCTTTTTTGCCAGAATTCCCTCCTAAAACTTTTTTATAAATCTGAAATTTTAAAAATAACCTGTAGTAATACAACCCATCAAGGTTATTTAAAATTCAGCCTGGATCCATTGCGGTTCTATTAATTGTATTTTACAATAAAACAAAACAAACTAGAAGTCAATGAAAAGAAACGCAAGTTGAGCTAAATAGTTACTGTGTCAACTGGATTTAAAAATATCTATCATTATGTTTATTCCGTACAGAATATACAAACCTTTATATATCTTCTCAAGTTGTAACGTAGGGATAAACAAAGAGGCTATTGATAAAGGAAACGAGTGGATACTTTGTTACACTCATAAGCCTTTGTACTCTTGAGTAGTTCAAAGAATAGATCTGAAGCAGGATCGTGTGTACGTTTTGGGCGATTGTCTTTGTTAAGTAGTTTATAAAGGGTGCACGTGGGCATTTACCAATACATGCAAATAAGACTTTAAGTAAGTTTTATTAAAATCGTAACATCCGTTTAATAGTTAAATGGCTTTAGATTCGAGCAAATGAGCATGTGACAAAGCGATAATATAAATTCTACTACATAAAAAAAAAAATAAATAAATAAATAACCCCAAAAAATTAAATCATGGATCCTCTAATGCTAACAATCGAAGACTTTTGGTAAAATTCTTAATACCATTACTTTCATACTAATTAAATCATAATGACCTTAATGTTCCATATGTTTCCAATTTGGCCCAATCAAGATACTTATACATCTATAATAAAATGATAAACTTTGAGGTGTCTGAAAAAAAGATGGCTTCGTGATCTACTAATTTAGAAATTTAATTAGAGTGATACCAATAGGGAGAGAATCTACAAGTCTTTTCATGTATTTCTTTTATGTTACATATACTATATATTTTTTTATACAGTTATAAATTTCATAAATAAATAAAAAATTAAATATTTGATATATCATGAGAAGTATAATCCTTAAAAACAGAGTACAAATAATTCACAATCTATAAACCAATGAGGGGTGGGGATGATACAACGAGACCAAACAGAATCGATTGAGACAAGAGAAAACCCTAACGAATCGGATTTCAGAGTCTTTACAAGGCCCTTTATAAGGCCGAGAGGGCTTTCAATAATCGATACATAGAACAATCGAATAAGGTATCGACTAATCATAGGATCCAAGAGGAAATTGCAGTCCCGGAGAGGAATTGGGTTATCGCGAAGAACCCTACAAGTGCCTCGTTATCCTGGCTGATAACATCTTCTGACCTCAAATTGACTTTTTTTTTTAAGGACACGAAGGTGCATTTTTTTTTCGTTATCCTTAATTAACAAAAACAGATAACGCGATCATTAAGACACAAAAATTCAAATAAAATAAATTATATACAGACTAAGGTTTAAATAAGGATTCTGAATCATAGATAGTCAAACAATGTATTTTTTTTTGTGTTTGGATTTATGAAAAGTTCACAAAAAATTGAACAATTTTAATATATTTAATTGTTTTTTTTTTATCACTAAATAATCTTTTTCACACACAAACAATTTGTAAACTGTTTAATATTTAAAAAACAACAGGTGTGTGCTTTAGACGACACGATATAAGTGAAAACATCAACCAGGAGAGATTAATAATATGAAATATAAATTATAAACAATAGCTCGTTACAATTAAGACGAAATTTTAAACATTTCTCTCACTTACAGTATGCAAGTCCGAGTTTTAGTATCTGAAATATTTTAATCCATATGTTCAAATAACCTCATTTGATTTTGGACACTATTTTTTCCTTTTCGCCTCCCTAACACGGCGTTGTGTTTAGATACATTTTTGTTTTATAGCTCACTACAAAGAGGATGAAATTTTGAATAATTTCCTCGCTTACAGTATGCAGGCCCGATTTTTACTTTCTGAGATATTTTAATCCATGTGTAAAACATATCAATAAGTCGACTCCAACCGACTTTACCCGAGCGTTAAATTTGTTAAATCTGACGGATCGATCTATTTCACTCTCCACTAAAAAGTGCAAAACGCGTCT